TCAATCACTCAAAAATATTTAAGAATTGGGGAAATGTTTTAAACATAGTCCTAATTGAAAAAACAGATGATAAAGCAGCTGGGAAAGGACAAGGCCGTGGCCCACAGGGTGGACTTGGAGTGGGGGTGGGGAGTGGGTTAATGGGACATGATTGCTCTGCGTGAGACAAGGCCACAGAACTCAGGAAACAAAGCTTGTTTTGAGCAAGAGTCATGTCAGATTTTGACAGGAGGCAGAGCAGAGAGAAGATATCTTTACATAGGTGAAGCTTAGAGTTCGTGATAAAGTGTTCTCCGCCTTCATGTTCACAGTCAATTAATTTTCAACAAGCCCAAGCCCATTCAATGGAGAAAGAATAGTCTTCAATAAATGGTGCCGAGACAAGTGGGCAGCCACATGCAAAATAATGAAGCTGGATCCCTTCCTTCCTTCGTACACACAAATTAACTCAAAATGGGTCACAGCCCTACACATAAGAGCTACAACTAAAACTCTTAGAAGAAAATATAGAGGTAAATGTTCAAGATGGAGGGCTTGAATGTCTTTGCATATGCTATTGAGGTTTATGACTTTACTTTCCACAGTTAGACCTACAATCCACTTGGAATTGTCGTTTTGTCTGCTTGTAAGGTCTGGTTTCATGAGAATGAGCATCCAATGGATCCCATAAAATGTATCGAAAAGCTTGTGTTCAGCAGTGCCACTTTTGTCACAGAAGAAATATGCTACACGTGTGTGTCTTTTTCCCAGGCCTCTGTTTAGTTCTGTTGATCTGTTTGTCCTTGAACCTGCCGGGCAGCATCTTAGTTACTGGAGTTATTATGATAAATCTTAATGTCTAGTACTGTGGATCCTCCCATGTCTTTTCTTTTTCATGATTCTCTTGGCTACTCTTGGCCTGGCTATATACTTTTTAGAGTTAACTTGTCAATTTCTATAATTTCAGTAAGAGCTTTGGGATTGGGATTGCACTGAATCTATGTTACATTTGGGAAAACTGCCAGCTTTACAATAGCATATAAAGCTACTATGAACATGGCATATCCCTTACTAAAAATCTTTTAGTGGCTTCCTATCCTGCTTAAAGTCCAAATTTTGCAAAGTCCTCATTGGCTTGTCCTCTGCCTGCCCCTCAGACCTCATCTCCTGTCTCTCTGGGCTCCATTTACACCACTCCAGCCCTTCTTTCTGCCTGTCCATCAGCCCAGGCTGGCTCCCACCTGAGCACCTCTGTTCCAGCTCTTTCCTCTAACCATGGGGCCCTTCTCCTGCTCTCCCCAGCATTGGATTCCCTGTTATTCGGGGACAAGGTAATGTAGTGGATGAGAACGGGTATGTGGGGCCCATGGGCCTGGGTTTGAAACGTGCCTCTGCATTACTAGCTGTGTCCCCATCATGCTCCTGTAATTGTCATTCCTTGGGCTTCTTCAGCAATTGTTAAGAAGACAAGATGAATGGGTGGATGTAATGGAGCAGTGCTCAGCAAAGAAGAACTTAATACTGTTAATCATCTTCTCACTCTCCAGCAGCCTCCTGGTCCTACAGAAGCAGCCTAGGAACTCCCTATGCTCGAATCTTACTCTTATTCCCTACACTGCAATAACGCACCCTTTCTTTCTCTTTATCACATTCTCTGTGAGGGTTCTAATGCATCTAGCAGCTCCCCCTTCAAGCACAGCCCATCTAACACACATTTCAGATACTCTTGAGGCTGTTGACTGGGATATCAAGTTGCTCCAATCCTAAAGATAATACAGGTCTGGAGAGAAGCAAATAGGTATATGCTGGTGAGAACTGGCAAAAATCCCTCAATATGCCATCAGTATAACCCGCTTCATCGTCAAGTACCATACGACATTTCTTTACTTTTTAAGGTAATTACTTGATCCTTTCCACCACCACCTCACCGCTGTCTTAGTCAGAAATTGAATATTATCCTTCTTGAAGTATTTCCAATCTTTGAGGTGTCTAAAACCCTGGTTGCAGCAGGAGCAGGGGTGGGGTTGCTTCAGGGCCAGTTTCAGATAACCTCCTTTCTCAATTTCACCAGAAAGCGCTACTCCTTTGCTGTACTGGCTTCTGGATGTCACAGGACATTGCTTTCAGTGACTGGTCTGCGCACTGGAAAGACATGAAGATTGTGTCTGTCAAGATCACAATCTTACCCTGGCCATGGGTGGTTGGGTTATGACATGGGAGATGCATGTTTGGCACCATGTTTATGGCTCTTTTCTAAGTACAGTACCCTGAAGTTTTGGCTAGATGTCTGTCTCCACCTACAGACTATGAGTTATTCAATTCATTTCCACCCCCTTTCTCCACAGCATCTAGCACAGGGGCACCTAGCACCTAACACGTGGCAAAATTCTGATAAACATTAAGGAAGAGTTGACATTAAAATGTATAAATAAAAGTAATTTAATGTCTAACAATAATGGATTCATAAGACAAATTCTGATAAATGCAAACAGATGATCGCAATGTACTCGCTAAAAATCAGGCTAGCATTGATTAAGCATGTGAGATGTTCACAGCATAACATCAAGCAAAAAGTGCAGTTACAGCGCAGCTGTGCAAGGGATCATCACTGGGTATTGGCATGGTGTAGGGGGTTGTTTTGTCCCAGAGTGAACAGAGGGTAGGGAGAAAAGGAGTGCAGTCTGCCCCCCATCACCAGCCGTAGGTCAGAAATGAAGTTTCTGCTGAACAACAAGCTATTATCCAGCAATTGTCCAATGGTGAACCACATGGGTATACCAAATTTGTTAATTAGATAGTCTTAAGGTTTTGTTTTTATTTTTGTTTCTTGGTTATAGACATTGCCATGGTGGACATTTTTCTGATTATTGTTTTTAACATCTGCTTAATTAACTGTTGCGGGATAAATTGCCAGGGTAATGCTGGCTGAACCAAAAAATTCAGTGCAATCTTTTGTGGCTTTAGCTTGGCAATGCTGAGAAATTCAAGTCATGTTTTTAGTTTAGAAACAAAGTGTATTGATGAAGCACTTGTTTGCTGGGGAAATCACTATGTTGAGTAGATAAAGGCTCACTCAGCAAACTGGAAAAGCTGTTGGCTTCAGTATCTACCTATGATTTTCTCTCCAACCTTCAGGGATGCATAGATGGAGTCTCTGGTTTGATGACCTGTCCTTTGGCGCCCCCTTCTGGAAGACTCAGTCATCAGCCTGTGCGGGCCCTCCCAAGAGAGCTGTGTGGGGTGAAATGGGGCCAAGTAGAAGGGGCCGGCTGGGAGAAGTCTTGTGTTGGGGTGAGTTGGCAGAGGGGACCCCACCCATCACTCACACAAGGGCCCAGGTAGCATCTGTAAGGATGTCGAGCCTGAAGGTCTGGCCCCCTAAGAGTAGGGTGACTTCCACATTGCAGTTGGTGATTTACTAATGAACAAATCTGGTTCTACCACTTCTCTTTCACCTCCCATCCATCACTCAACTGATTTAAAAAATCCTCTATTAGCTTCCTCTCTTGTTTGTGTATCACAGTCTTGCCCTGGCCGTGGGTGGTGGGGGTTGTGAGGTGGGGGTGCATGTTTGGCACCAAGTCTGTGGTGCTTTTCTAAGTACAGTACCTCGGAGTTTTGACTAGATGTCTGCCTCCACTGACAGACTATGAGCTGGATAGGATAAAGTCCCAGCTATAGCTTGGCACAGAGTCTTCCAGTCTTGTCTCCCTCCTGCCTCTCCAGCCTTGTTTCTTCTAACTTCTTATGGTGCACCCTGTGGACTCCATCCCCTGAGCAGGCCGCACTCTTTTTTATTTTATTTTATTTTTATTTATACTTTAAGTTCTAGGGCACATGTGCACAATGTGCAGGTTTGTTACATATGTATACATGTGCCATGTTGGTGTGCTGCACCCATTAACTCGTCATTTACATTAGGTTTATCTCCTAACGCTACTCCTCCCCGCTCCCCCCACCCCTTGACAGCCCCCAGTGTGTGATGTTCCCCTTCCTGTGTCCAAGTGTTCTCATTGTTCAGTTCCCACCTATGAGTGAGAACATGTGGTGTCTGGTTTTCTGTTCTTGCAATAGTTTGCTGAGAATGATGGCTTCCAGCTGCATCCGTGTCCCTACAAAGGACATGAACTCATCCTTTTTTACGGCTGCATAGTATTCCACGGTGTATATGTGCCACATTTTCTTAATCCAGTCTATCATTGATGGACATTTGGGTTGGTTCCAAGTCTTTGCTATTGTGAATAGTGCCGCAATAAACATACGTGTGCATGTGTCTTTATAGCAGCATGACTTATAATCCTTTGGGTATATACCCAGTAATGGGATGGCTGGGTCAAATGGTATTTCTAGTTCTAGATCCTTGAGGAATCGCCACACTGTCTCTTTTGCAACCCCAGGCCTTTGCCTGTGCCGTGTCCTCTGTCTGGAGCGCCTGGTCCTCCTTTCCTCCGTGCAACTCAAAATGTCTCTTCCAGCAGCTGAAATATGACCTCCCTAAGGAAGTCCCCCTCAACTCCCCAGGCGGAAGGTGCTCCTTTCTGGGTGCCTGGAGCACCTGTCTGTGTCACTCAGTTGGCTTCCACGTGCCTAGTGACAGTGTGTGACTGTCCCCTCACACGTCCCCACCCTGTGAGCTGGCCCTGTGTCTGATGCATATTGCCTAGCAGAAGGCCTGGCACACTGTAGGCACTCAAGAATGTTTTTTGAATGAATGAAGGAATGAATGTGCTTCATGACGGTGGAGTTTGGGGGTTCGCTAATTGAGGGAGGACACCCCAGGGAGATGTAGTTAAGTGTGTGTCTGACCCCACCCAAGCCCTGGAGGTGGGAGGACAAGCTCTGAGGCAGGGAGACGATAATGGGACCTTTTGTGATTCTTAGATGCTTCAGATCCTGCTCCGAGGGATGTGGGCTCCTGAAACTGGTTGAGTTAATCTTAGCAAGTTAAGCGTTGTGATGTCACCTGAGGAATGCAATTAAGGCTCAGTCCTGCTGCTGAAGGACCTGTGAAGCATCACAACACTGGCTGCCATAATTGGAGGCGCTGAGGATGGGTGGGATGTGGGGCTTGGTGGTGGGTTCCCGGCTCACACAGCTGCCTCCTGCCTGAGCGCTGGGGAATCTCTGGGATCAACTACAGGCTGGATCTGTGGTTTTGGATCCTCACCTCAACAGTGACAGGTCAGTGCCTCTTCCAAGAGAATTGTGGGGTGAGGGTCTGTGTTGGGTCTGTGCAGGTTCTAAAAAGCAGAGGTGGGTACAGCTTACTTGTTTTAGAGAACATGTACAGTGTGGATGGACATCCTAACAGTACAATCGTGGCCCAAGCGGGGTGTAGGACCCGAACTGAAAGCAAGCCTTTGGGCTTGTTCCCAAAGACATGGGTTTGAGCAAAGCTCCAGGTAGATCGGTTGTGTGATCTTGGGGAAATTGCTCATCCTTTCTGGGTTTCATTTTTCCCTTAGGAAAATGGGAGTAATGATGCCTGCTTCCTATGGCCTGCGTGAGGGTTACGTGGGATATGGGATAATTTGTATAAAGTGTTCACCTGGTGCCAGGCTGGTTCCACGAGCGGTGGAAGCAGCAGTTGTCCTGATTCCTATCTACAGAGTCCAGGGAGCACCGCTGACTTGACAGGGAGATCTTGTCGCCCGAAAACTGGGGTCTCATCTCCACAGGAAGTGGGGAGTGGAAGGTCACAGGCATCAGAGCACCAGAGAGGAGCGGCACAGAGGCTCCGGGGGGGGGGGGCCGTGGGATGTAAGGGCTGAAGGGATGGTGCCGATGGCACTGGGAGAGGGTGGCACAGTGTGGTGGCAGCAGGAAGACAGGTGGGATCCACTTGCTGCCTGTACATTCAACTGGGAAAGAAAACAATCGCTCAGGAGCAGGGCCCAGTTTTCCACATAGTGTGGTTATTCTAATATTGTTTGTCACACAAGACAGCTTATGGTAGTGTGGATTCTGCCTTTTCAAGGGTTTAAAAGTGTTTCTATTGGAAAGCAACACAAACACTGACTTGCTTCAGAGTCTTTAGTTTCTCCCCATTCTTGACTTGAGGCATCTGCTAAATTGGGGTAGGTTGGAGGGAGGAGGATGCAGCTCCTGTGTCCAGGAACCCCTCAGTCCCAGCAAACAGAGTCCTGTCTTGAGAATTTTCAGGGAAGCGTCTTGCAGGGCAGCGACTTTGAGTCACGTTTGCACGGGGTCGGATGAGTGCAGGGGTCCTGGTGGCCTGAGACTGGGTGTGGGAATGTGGGCAGGTACAAGAGGGAGAAGGCTCTTGGAGGAAGCACCATCTGCTGTGGACTGGCTGGGACAAGGTGCTGCTCTCTCCTCCCAGATTCTCCACCCACTGTCCCCGGCTGCTGCACCCCTGCACCTCCACGTCTGCCCCCTGCCCGGGGCCAGGGCCCAGCAGTCATGACAGACACCCCAGTGGAGGAATCCCTCTTCCAAATCATCCACTGCTTCCACCAGTATGCAGCCCGGCAAGGCGATGTGGAGACCCTGTCCCTGCAGGAGTTGCAGGCCCTGCTCATGGACAACGTGCCCCGCTTCATGGACAGCTTGGTACGCAGGGTCTGGGATGAGGGTGGGGGTTGAAGTGGGGCCCGGGCACCAATACAGGGTGGATTCTGGGGTGGCAAGTGAGTGTTGAAAGCAAACGCTGAGGTTATTACAGAGGGTGCTGTCTCTCATGAGAATCTTTTTTTTTTTTTTTTTTTTTTTCTGGAGATGGAACCTGACTCTGTCGCCCAGGCTGGAGTGCAGTGGCGCAATCTCTGCTCACTGCAACCTCCGCTTCCCAGATTCAAGTGATTCTCATGCCTCAGCCTCCTGAGTATCTGGGATTATAGGCGGCCACTATCACGCTTGGCTAATTTTTGTATTTTTAGTAGAGATGGGGTTTTACCATGTTGGCAAGGCTGGTCTTGAACTCCTGGCCTCAAGCAATCCACCCGCCTTAGCCTCCCAAAGTGCTGGGATTACAGGTGTGAGCAACCGTGCCTGGCCCTGAGAATCTTTAATTCATGGGACGGCAGGATCTGTGGCCACAGTGAGGTGGCCCCAGCACAGCTGTGTTTCTTGTCCTTCCCTCTCGCAGAACTCCCTGCCTGGCCTCCCTCCAGCCCAAACTTAGCTGATTTCCTGGAACTCAGTCCTAACCCCAAACCTATTTATGCCTCTGCCCATCTACTTCCTGAGTACAGGCCCTCCACCTCCCCTCTGCCCACAGGCCCATCGAGGCAGTGCCTCTGCCCCTCACCCCATGCCACCTTCCAAGCCCTTTGAATTTAGCCCCTTCTCCTGGGCTGCACAAGCCTGGCCCTCCTGCTCCCATGTATGGGGGAGGGATAGCAGGAGCTGCGGTGGCCGCCCTAACCAGAGTAGGAGTAGGGTGGGGTGGGGTTAGGAAACATTACTTCCCCTTCCACCTCCTGTCCCCAGAATCTCTCAGACCTGGACAGGCCCAGTTCCCAAATCCAGGCTTAGACAGCCCTCAGGCCCTGCCCATCTTCTTTGTCATCAGACCCAGACCCATGATTACTGGGCTTCTTGGGACCTGTAAGGCCTGCAAGGGTGTCTGTGGGGTGCTCCTGTCTAGCCATGCCCCGGGGTGTCTGGACTGTCATCTCCAGGGGACTTCTGGTCCATCCTGACTCAAGGACACTCCATCCAGGAAAACGCTCCTCTTTGGTCACTTCCCGTCTCCCCAGCCTTGCCTCTGCTTACTGGAGTGTTACTCTGAGGGTTGTAGAGAAGGACGGAGCGAGGGGGAAGTGATTGTGGGTGGTCCTGTTTCCAGGAAACCTTGTCCTTTCTAGGGCAAACTGTACCAGGACAGCCCGGGCCCTGCACTCATGGGACTCAAAGCCCCACCGGGGTACAGGGCCCTTGGGGACAGACCCTGAACACAGGGTAGCCCTGGGGAAGGTGGGCCGAGGTGAGGGAAGCTGGGAGAGTCTGTCCCAGGCGGGAAGCCTCCAGCTCCTCTCTGGGTGACCAGCTTTGTGGAACAGTTAAGATCACAGGAACAGGTGGTGGGGGTGGGCCCTGAGGAGACAAAGGCTGCAAACCTGCCTACAGCTGCTTCCCCCAAATGGTTTCTAGGGCTTCACACTGGCTCTTCATGCTCACCAGCCAAATCTTGCTGAAAGCTGCCTCATCTGCCCTGCCCAGTGCTCCCGATGTCCACCTCGTGTCTTCCTGCTCTGTCCCTGTGCTGTGCTCTGGCCTGTGACTTTCTTCATGCTGTTCCTTCCAGCTCAAATGCCTCTTTCCTCTCCTCTACGATCCCCATTTCTCAGCCCTCAGGGCCATATCTGGGCCACCTGCCTCGGAACAACCTGGACAGCTCCAGGGCTCCTGGCTTTGTCCTTTCCCTTGTTCTGCGCTCTATGTGGGCCCAGTGCCCGGGGGTCAGAGGTTCGCATGCTGTGCATCTGCCTGAGAATTGCTCCCAAAGCAGGCAAATGCACAGGCACACAAACCTCTGACCCACTGGGCACTAGCCTTGCAGCAGCGCTGGGGATGCAGACTCGAGGGCCAGGTCGACTCTGCTCCTGGGGAGCTCCCAGTGTGGAGGAGGAAGGCACCGCCCTGCCTTGAGGAAGCCCTGGCTGGGGTGTCCCTCCAGAGGAGCCTCCAGCCCAGCTGTGAAGAGAGGTATAAACAGCTGCTGCAGGTGGATGCAAAATCGTCTGGGATGCCAGGGTTGCCTGGGCACTGAAGACAGTTAACCATCCGTGGTGCCCAGTTTACCTCCTTTGTCTGCACACATGCAGCTGGCTCCAGGCTTGGTTATGGGGGCACCCACCATGCCCCTGTCTCTTGAGCCTGATTTTGCAGCATTCAGAGTCCTAGTCACTGACTATTGGAGTGAGGAGTCATTTCCTGTAAGCCCTTGCAGGCAAGGCCAGGCCACAGTTACCCCATCCCCTCCCAGTGGGCTGTGGGGAGCCTGGCAGGTGGGCTGCATGCCTGGGTGGGTGGTTGACACTCTGCCCGCTTCTCAGGGCCGGAAGGAGCCGTACTATATCACAGAACTGTTCCAGGCTGCAGACAAGAACAAGGACAACCAGATCTGCTTCGATGAGTTCCTCTACATCTTGGGAAAGCTGGTGAAGGACTACCACCTGCAGTACCACCGGCAGCTGTGCGCTCACCACTGTGCTCAACACAGCCTCTACTAGAGGGAGATCAGGCAGCCTCCTGCCCACCGGAGCCTGACCCAGGAGGAGGTGTGGCCTGGCTATCAGGAACTGAAAGGAGAACCCAGCTGTGTGTGTCTCTGTGTGTGTGCACATGTCTGTACCTGTCTGTGGAAAGGAAAGCAGTGTGAGAGAGAATAAAGCAATTTCATACATATTTCCAAGGATTTGTCAGTATGTGGTTCTGGGCTTCACCTACAATCCAGAAAAAGAAGTTTCAGTCCCAACCTGGGAAAGATCTACTTTAGATGAATGAAATAGCCCTTGCCTCCAGGAAGCTCCTGTTTGAGTGGAAGAAACAGCTTCTATCTCCAGGGAGCCCCTGTCTGAGGGGGAGACACAGCTCCTACCTCCAGGGAGCCCCTGTCTGAGTGGGGAGACACGTTCCTATCTCCAGGGAGCCCCTGTCTGAGGGGGAGATACACCTTATATCTCCAGGGAGATCCTGTCTGAGGGGGGAGACACGCTCCTATCTCCAGGGAGCCCCTGTCTGAAGGGGAGACACAGCTTATATCTCCAGGGAGACCCTGTCTGAGGGGGAGACACGCTCCTGTCTCCAGGGAGCCTCTGTCTGAGGGGGAGACACAGCTTATTCCTCTAGGGAGTTTATATCTGATGGGGGAAACACCACGTCTGATTCCAGGGGGCCCTATCTGATGGGGAGACAGTCCCCACCTGCAGTGTTCAGCCTGAGAAGGAAGAGTCTCCTTTCCTGGGGAGATAGACAGCGAGGCCTCATCCATGGTCACTTACTCACCCACCACGCAGGTGGTAGCATGGGGTGAGGGTAGGGGTGAACTAACATGCCCCTCTGACAGCATCCCTACTCTGAAAGAGAGCCTCAAGAATCGGCGAGCAAGGGTGGGGCTGAGCCTGGGACGAGACCAGGACAAGGAGGCAGGTGCATTTCTAGCAGAGGGAACAACAGTAGAAAATCATAAAGTATGTCCGGGAGAAACAGAAAGTTTCCTCAGAAATTAGCGTTCATGGAGAAAAGAGTAGAAAGTCAGCTTGAATGGGTGGGTTAGGACCAGAGTCTGGAAGTCCCTGAAAACTGAGCATTGGAATTTGGACTTTATCCTTTTGGTAAGGGATCCTGAGTTGTTAAGTGTGGGGAAGGGGTGAGGGCCCTGGGACCAGCTCTGCTTTAGGAAACTAGTGGTGGGGGTTTGGGGTGGAGGAAGACAGAGCAGACCTGCAGAGACTAGCTGGAGGCTGTGAAGAGGAGGTAAACAGCTTCATGGGGACGGAAGCGAGGAGGCGTCAGAAAAGGCAGAACGTCAAAGCCCAGATCTGGGCACAGACTGAGGGAGAGGAGGATCCAGAATGAGGTGGAGGTTTCAGGCGCTGGCGATTGGCATGGGACTTCGGTGCCTGGGTGGGAGCCAGTCTGCAGGGAAAATTGTGTGCTGGGTTTGCACATGCTGAGTCAGACACTGACAGGAGCTGAGCCAACAATCCAGCCTGGCAGAACCACAGACACCTGTTAAGGGAACAGCAATGAGTAGAACCTGGGTGACAGTCAACCCAGGAAGGCTTCCTGGAGGAGAGAAGGGTTGGGTCTGTTTTTTTCTACAACATGATGATGGATGTGAGGCTTACTTCTGACCGAGGGCTATTCATGACCCACTGATCCAAGTCCTCCGGTGTCCCTGACACCACCCACCTGAGACCTGCCCCTGCGCTTGCTCTGTTTCTTTTTCCTCTTCCTCTCTCCTGGGACACCAGGAAATTAATGCAGAATCTCTTAGGGAGGGTCTCCTCTGCCTTCAGGAACTGCCAGAGCCCATTTTAATGGGTTGTTTTCTTCTGAGGGTTGGTCTGGGAACCGGTGTCCTGAGCTTACTGAGATAGAAATCATGGATTTTGAAAGAGTGATGGAAGGTGATACACCACCTGTGCACAGGACTGCAGGGTCACTTAAGAAACTTGGTCTGGTTCCCTCTCCATCTGGTCCTTTGCACCAAACGTGGTGGGTTGTCCCTGGAGCTGAGCTGGAGACCTTTTTTCTCATCAGTCAGGCTCTGGGGCAGAATTTGCCCCCGTTTGCTCCAGACCTGGCCTGCTGTCCCTCCCACACTTGCCATCAGCTTAGTTTGCCTTTCAGGACCCTCCTTGGGAGATGTCTGCACCCCATTCCCCTTTTCATTCTCTCCTGTGGAGGGGCATCTTCTGCTGCACTGTGCTTGTTTCGTACTCTCCACCGAGACAGGATCTCAGCGTCCCCATAAACGCTCAGCAGGTGCTTGGGAAAGGAATGTAGAATTGGAGCCTGTGGGACTGGAATTGATGACCTGGATCTGTGCTCCTTCCCGCAGGCCCCTGGCTGTGTCTAGAGGCATGAAGACCATTGCCTGAGTTACTTAGGCCACTCTTCTTCCAGGCCCAGGGGAGAAATGTCTGTCTCACCTGAGAGGTGCTGGGCTCCACAGGCATTGAGTACGAAGCAGAGGTGCCCAGCCTGAGCCTTCCCTGCCCCTCTCCTGCCCCCTTCTGGGGGTTTCTTCACCAGCTCTGCCTGCTCTGTCCTCATTTCCTTGGCCTCAGGATTGGGCCTGTCAGGTCTGTTGGGACACACCCAGGGACTGAGCCCTTTCCTGTAAACATGACCAGGTTCTGCTCCCTCTAGGTTGCCCCATGTCCGCCAGGCTGCTTACAGCCTCTGCCTTTCCCCGCATATGCTTACCCAAGTCCTGATACCTTTTGCTGCAAGGTCAGTTCAGCCTGGCTCCTGCTGTCCCAAAAGCACCCAAGGCTGTCTGTCCAGGGGCACAGTTTCTGGGGAGGGGGCGACATTTCATGATCTTGTCAGTCAGCCTGTACACGGTGTGGGGAGGAGGTCACCACTCAGGACTCCCTCACTGGACCTGAGAAAGGACCTGGAGTAATGCCCTATGCCTCAGTTTCCCCATCTGCCAAATAGGGATAATTATGCTTGTAATGTCCACATCACAAGGTTTCTGGGAATATCAAATGAGTCAGTGGATGCAAACTACTTTGAAAATATGATGCGGTGCTTTGAGGCAGGTCCTGTTAGGCCAGGTCACATAGGACAGTACGTGGTGAATAATAGGTATTAACCAAGGGTGGATCCTTGGTTGACAACTTGTCATGTCAGATATGGCGTTGTTTTCCTGTAAGAGCTTGATTCACCTTTTGTCAAGGAAGTTAGACTGCATTTGGTTGATGAATTTATACCCTGCCTTCTTCCAGAAATGATTTAAGATGGCTGAGTGTGGTAAAGAGAATTTCTGCCTTGGATAAGGGAAAGGCCAAACTTAATTTTGTATTCATTTATCCCCTCAATAAGTATTAATTGAACACTTAGTAGGTGCCAGGCCCTAGGGTTGTGAAAAGAAATGTGATTTCTTTTCTAAATGGTCTCCTGGTCCCAAAGAAAAGACAGACAATAAACAAATGAATCATAACATAGCAGGGCAAATGCTGTGATGGGTAAGGATTTGGGTAGTGTGGAGGAGAGAAGAATTAACTCTGCATTGACGGTGTGAAGGCAGGCAGATCAGGGATGGACTTGGAGTGGATGATGCCTGAGCTGGATCAGGAAGGGTGAGGAGGACATTACCGGGACAAAAGACATTACAGGCGGGAATAGGAAGTGGATGCTGTCACATCACATCATGAGTCACTCAATCATTTGATACGCTGAATTACTAAGTCTCCCTGTGGGGCTCAGTTTCCTCATCTGTACAATAGGCATTATAATAGTACATACATCATTGGGTTAGTGTGAGAATTAAATGATCAATGCAAATAATGCAACTAATCTAAGTAAGCACTTAGAATAGTTCCTGGATGTGGGAAAAGCCCAGTGAGTGTTAACTAGTATTTTGCCATGATTTGCTCTGATCAGTGATTGTGGCTGCTGTTATCGTGTGTGCTGGGCTCTGTGCTGGGTCTCCAGTGGCTCACATCCAGAGAGAGCTGGATTTATTTTGGAGGGTGAAAGGCTCCCTGTGTGTTTATATAATGGCTCAGGCCCTTGTGCAGTGCAGAGGGACCCCAAGAAGCCTCCATCTCCCAGGGCATGGTGCATCCCCAGCTTCACAGAACAGGAGAGCTGTGGAGGAGTGTGGGCAGCAGGGTAGGAATGGATTTAGCCCTTGGCAACAACACACGTCCCCACAAAACATTTTCTTCATCCATTCATCTGTTGAGGGACACTTGGGTCGCTCCCACCTTTTGGCTCTTGTGAATAATGCTGCTATGAACATGAATGTATAAGCACCTGTTTGAATCTCCCTGCATTCAATTCTTTTGCATATATACCAGGAGCAGAATTACTGGATCATGTGGTAATTCTGTGTTTATTTATTTGAGGAACAAACTTGCAGTTTTCCATTGCAGC